AAGAAATCATAGAAAAATTCAAAAAAGTGAAAATCAATATTTCACCCTTTGAAGCAATAAAATAGATTCCAAAATATGTCAAGTTTCTCAAAAACTTATGTACCTATAGGAGACTGAAAGGAAATATGAAGGTGAGTATGGATAGAAATGAATTTGTCATCATTCAACCAAACATTCCTCCTAAGTGCAAGGATCTTGAGACTTTCACCATAAGAAGCAAGCAATTTAGTCAAACTATTTGAATATAGGAACCGCAATAAATGTCATGCTAAAATTAGTATATTAGTCATTGCATATTAGAGAGCTCAAGGCAATAAGAGTGGTGATTTAACTTGCCAATCAAAGCACAACTCATCCCAGGAGACTTCTAGAAGATATATTGGTAAAAATAAATAAGTTTATTTTCTTTACAAATTTTTATGTGCTAGACATGGAAGAGGATTCACATGTTAATCAACCAACATTAATCTTAAATAGACTGTATTTTAAAAATATTAAAACTAAGATTACCGTGCATTTTGGGACATTATTCATGAAATTTGGAAACAGTAAAATATATTTTAATTTGTTTAATGCCAAAAGACATCTATCAGACGAGTATAACATATTTCATTTAAATATCATTGATTAATTAGTTGATGATGTGTATAAGAATTTCAATATTCAAATTGTGATAAAAAAATTCATGATATATATACTATTTGTATTGAAATTTATGCATGCCTATAAAGTTGAAACTTTTTTTTTTCTTTTTGCTGATGTATATGTGAACCTTGATGTTGGAATTTTAAGTTCAAAATTTGTTAGAACATATGCTGGTTGGTTGTGTGGATTCAAATTCTATTTTTTCATATTTTTCCGTTTCTAATAATTCTATTTTTACATATTCTGTTGAGTCTATAAGTTTTTCAAATTCTAATGCAGTTTCTAATTCTGGTCTTTATGTGAATTCTGCAAATAATTTTATGCTGATTTTTCCAACCTCTATTTATTTACCAAATGCTTCATTCTGCAAAAGAATTTAGTAGATTAAATCAATTTTTGCTTTTATGTTACTATGAATACATATCACTTGCCAAGTGACTAAAAAACTTTTAAATCTCTTAACAAATCATTTTATAAAGCAAAAAAAGGATTTTATTTTACAAAGCATTTTTAGCGTTACATGATGCAACAAATATTTCATGTATGTTGTTTTATTTAATTAAAAAAAACATATTTTTACTAAACACTAGAAGACAAATAGTATACATTTAAACAAGACTAACATAAATCTGTACAACATAAAATTATTCATTGCCAAAAATTGAAAACATATCATATAGTTTTAACAGGTATTACTTGTGTTGAGCTACAGTACAGTGAGTGGTTAATATTATCAAACGGTTAAGTTTTTAATTTTTTTGTTGCAGTGTTCTTTCTTTTATTTCATTATATAAATAGCTTGATATTTATGTAGCTTTTGCCGGAGAAAATAGGTCAGGCCAAGAATTTGCATCCCAAACTCTCAAAGGTTTATCGTTTGCATCCCAAGATTTTACTATATTTATACCTTGACATTTTTATGATATGCTATCATTGTTTGTTGTAGTTTTATTGTTTCAGAAACATGAATAAAAATTGTTTCAAAAGTGTGGGGCGAAAACTTGTCAAGAAATAAAAAATATTATAGCAATTTTTGTTAAATTTTCTATAATTTCTATCTCTAATTTTTTATTATTTTGAAATTATTAATATCTTTTGATTTTGAATTTTATGATTCTTACTTATATTATGATTCTCACACACATCAATAATATTAAAAAGACTTACCTAAATTCATAACTTTGACGTATTCTCTTTGTAATTTTGATGTTTTAAAATTTCTTCTAGCTTTTACTACTTTGTTTTATTTTTTCTTTAATAGTTAAGAGAAGGTAAATTTTTCTTATTACTATAAAATTGTACATTGAGTCAATATATTTACTCTTATTTTAATAACAATTCTTTTATCTAAAATGATTAGAGAATGTTTCCTTATAATTACATTTATAATTGTATTTATTTTAATTTTTTATAATTAAAAATTATTATATTAAATTCTTTAATAATAAGAATTAAGTCATAAGTTATACAAGTCATTAAATAGATTATTAAACTAATCTAACAGTTTTAATTGTAAAAATATAAAAATTTACATTAATTCAAATTTATAAAAGATATAAAATATATTAATTTAAAAACTGATGTATAAAATATTATCTTTTATATTCACTGTTTCTAGATCGGTTCAAAAATTGATATAAAATTTTAATTTTATTTAATTTAAAAAGTCTTTTTTTTAATGGTGTGATATGCAACTAAAAATTAGATTTTTCATGAAATGAGAATTGAATGATTAGTAAAATATTAGCAAAAGAAAGAGAGTAGAGTGGTGTTCCCCACTAGCATTGTAGAGTTAGGAAATATTAAAATGTGAATCTTTTAGATGTTTTTCGTATTTTTTTTTATTTTCATTTTTTATTAAATGTACATACAGGGGATTGATATCAATACAATAATTGGGATGGAATATTTAATGTTGAATTATTCAAGCAACAATTTGAAAGGAAAAAAATAAAATTTAAGAATGAGAAAATTAAGAAAATTTATTTTGACATAATTAATATATTAATTGATTGATTTAATATTTTTTATAAAATATTATGATCATTTATAAAAGATAATACAGAAGCATATAACAAGTATTGATACTAATGTTTGCGAGTTTTAAAAAAGTTGAAGTAAAGAATTTAAAAGATAAAGGAAAAGAAGTGAAAGAATGAGTAAAAGAATTAAGCTCCTCCTTTATTTGAAATTTTTTTTGAGTGGTATTAAGAAAATTTTAATGTACATGATTAAATGCTTTTAATTACTTTAAAAAATAAATATTAACTTTTTTACTTGAGTTTTAATGATAATAATAAAAAAAAAGTTATTTTAAGTCGTAATTTTTTAATTTTTTATAAATATTAAAATTTATTAATTTAACTATTGAATTAATTTTTTAAAAATATATTAAATATACAAACAATCGTATAAATAAAAATTTAATTAATAATTCACTGAATGATTTTATTAAAATTTGACATGAATATACCACTAGGCTATTGAAATTTAATTTTTATAAAGAGTTATTCTTTGGAATAACTTAATTCTTGTTAAGAATTGTTATTATCAGCAAGAAATGAAATGTTAAACAATTTTAAAATATTGAAAATTATAAAATAAAAATTTAAATTATAAGATAAATATATAATTAATACAAATAAAAAAGAGAAAGAAAAAAAGTGATTTATATTTTGCGAGAGGAAGACTTTGGCTTGGTGAGATATGAATTTTAAAAGTAAAGGTAAGGGTTTTGCTAAAAGTTGAAATAAAAAAGAATAAATATGTGTGTGTGTGTGTGTAATTTTTTGGTGCTTAATGATTCTAATTAAATTGTTCTCGAATAGATCAATTCCAAAACTAACTTAGCCAAAAATAGCCTGAACAATCAATATTTACACATCCTTATGGTCCTTAATGCAATAATGAACGTACAGTTATGGTAGAAGACAAGAGTCAAATGGAATGTAAAGAAACTCACTTTTAATAATATTTGCTTATAATAATATTTATAATACTGCTATATTTGCTTATCGAAGCATTCCTCAAATCAAGCATCAAAGGTAAACTATATTATCACACTGATAAATTACTTAAATCTTTATTCTATTTTAATGCCATTTTTTAATAAGAATAATCCTTCTATTATTAACATCTGCACAAAACTTTTTTATTTTTAAAATAAATTATTCCAACTTTTTATTTTACATTTCTTTTAAAAATCCTCTATTATATATATATATATATATATATATATATATATATATATATATATTCTCATTACTAAACAGATTTAGTTGTTTATTTTTATTTTAAAAAATAAGTTATAAATTGTTTATTAGTTTATGTTACAAATTAAACACAATCTTTCATGTTTCAAACCCCACTCTAACCATTCTAATCATTTATATATTTTCACTATGCCCTCTTTAGCTACGTCTCATTATGCGCCCATTTTGTTCCTTTGATTGCGGAATAATTGCCACATATCCCTCTCTTCCAAAGTTTTTGTTATATCAGTTGGGTTGTTATCGTATTCTCATTTATCATATCATAAAATATTATTAGTTACATATAAATATATACATATAATCATGAAAATTAAAATTAATTATCTATAAATAATTATACAAATAAAAATTATTATTCTCTTTATTATATTGAGAATAATTCTCACTTAATATTTATCTCGTGTGTGTAATTAAATTGTATTTAGATCCTAGATAGTGTGACATAAAAAAAAAAAAATGCATTGACACAAGTATTTTTTTGTGCAAAAGAGAAGTCGTCCTTCTTTTTTAAATGCACATTAAATTCGAATAGTTTTAATAAAAGAACCAGTCATATAATAAAGGTTTCTATAAGAGTCTCTTCTTATGACAGAAAATAAATACGAATATATTTATAGATCCAAAATAGATTATAAGGTCCTTAATAATGTAAATAATTATATTCCAATAAGAGTGCGATGTTGGTGACCTAACAAATTCTAAAACATTCATCAAGATGTAATTTCTAATTTAGTGCAGATCATTTTTACTGAATTTTAAAAAGTGAATGATTATTAATTCTTTTAAATAGAAAATATCAAACATATGGACTTGTACTCTTATTTTTTTATATATTAAAATTTCATCTTCCTTCCCAAAATCATAACTAATCACATTCTTGCATTAACTCCTTAAAAATCACGGGTATATATTAAATTGAACTACAGAAAATCTACAGAAACAAAACATTTTCAAGAAAAATATTATACCATAATTGAGATACCAAGTTACTAATGATCTTGACACTCGATCAACTATATACCGTAACTGCTTCGAATCTTTCGTCCAAAGAGGTCGCTAACAAAAGCAACATAATATCTTCAATCAAATTGATACCCGAAATGCATTCTTGAGTCCACTCATCAATCTCTGGCGAAAAGTCTTGGTCATCTTTGGATTCACGTTCTCATCATCAACGGAGAAAGAAGACCTACCAGCTTGATGGTTCTCCAATATTCTTGCATCAAACCGAATCCTCGAAGACGAAACAGACCATCTTTCAGCCCTCTCTATTCTACCATTCTCCCCCGACGCAAAATGGAAACTCGCCGAACGCTCTGACCCCAACACGTTCTTCTCCTCTTCCTCCTCCTCCTCCTCCTCGCGTTGATGCTCTTGCAAGACTTTGTTCATGTTGCTAAGCTCTTCTTCCAAGCTTTTAATGCGAGCGTTAGTGGAATCCATGGCTGCCTTAAGTTGTGCCGTTTGGCGCAGAGCCGCGTCGCGACGCAGGAAGTCCCCCAGTGTCATGGAACGACGTTGTCGTTCAGTGTTGCTCTGTAATTGGAGTTGATGGTGTTGAGCACCTGCTAAGGTGATGGAGTGGCGGGCGTTGAGATGTTCTACAAGCACCGCTCGCACCACCAATCTCAGTGGCATTCTTGGGTTTTGAACACAATTTACAAGGCTTCTATTTGAGAGCTTCCTACACTCTATCCAATTGCATATTCCACTTTTCTGTTCCTCCGTTAGTTTCTCAAAGTTCTTTTCCTTCACAATCACCAAATTTAATCACAAAACGTAATAGCAATAATGACTTTGTTTGATCCAATACATGGTTACTACAGTTAAAATAAAGGGCTACTTAATCACTAGTTAGCTTTCATAACCTAGATAAAATATAATGTGTAGATTCAAACTGCATTAAGTTAACATTTGTGGGGAAAAAAATAAAATCGTACAAGTTTCTTTATAACTCAAGCAAATGATATTACAAGTGTCATGCGAGTCCATTATGTTAGACAATGATAATGTGTGTCTATTTTATAATCGCGAACCAAACACTTAATTTCTTTTATAAAGTAACATGTAAATTTATTATTTAATGTTTTTCATTTTTAAAACTGTTACAAATTGTAATTAATATGATCAATACTTTCATATCATGAATTTCGTAAAATTAAATTTTGTGATTAAAATTAGAAACAAAATTCCTATGCTAGCTTGATGCTTATTGAAAAGTAATATTTGTAAATACATTTTATAAAAACAAGACAACAAAGAAAGAAACAGAAAAAAAGATAGGATAATTTAGTTGATTCATTCATGTTTTAGAAAAAAAAAATTATTATAAGTATAATATAACTTATATTTCTTCTCCCTTCTTTCTTTCTAATATATTATAAATATTAAAAAATTATCACACTCGATAATTTTTGTTTAACTAAAATCTCACGAAAAATTTAAGCAACAAAGAAATATTTAATTAATCATTTGAAGACTACACTTTATCAACGGTGAACCAATTGAGCGGTGCCTTGCAACATATTTTTAATGCTAACTAAACTAACTAAACTCTCCAAAAATAAATGCTAGTACCACTGTCTAATGTATTTTTTTTAAAGATTTATTTATTTTAAATTAAAATATTTATTTTTATAAATTAATTATTTTTTAAAATTTATTTTAATTTTTAAAAGATTTGATGAATCGTGTATTAAAGAATGTATTTAAAAAGAATTTGATTTATCTGAAATAGAAAAATGCATAAAGTGAGAAAGTAAACATTTATCTATTATTAATTTTTAAGCTAATTATATTTATTAAATACTTCAATATAAATTGAAATTAAATAAAATTTATTTTGTCACTTTACATGTTTCTTCTCCAAAAAGAAACAAACAAATAATTTTATTAACCTCAATTTTAAAGACTAAATTAAAATAAATATATTTTTATTAAAAGTATAATATTTTATATTTTTACACTATTAATATATTAAATAATTTTTTAATAAAAAATTATCACTTTTATTTATTTATTATCAACTTTAACAACTTATGTTAAAATTTTCCTTACAAGAAACAACTTATGTTAACATTCTTCAACTCTCCGAAGTCCAAAACTGAGATAAGAGTCGTGTGCTACGTACCTTAAGATACAGATCAATGATCTTATAGAGGACGTCGTGGTTCTCGTATCGTCTGCTCATGGATTCAACGACGGTTTGAAAATCTTGCGGCTGCAATTCCGTCACGACATTCAAACGACTAACGCAACACTGCTTCCACTCACCGCAAACCAGCGCTTCAATGCATCTGCTAACAAGAAACGCCGTCGTTTCGACCTCCGGAAGCAGAGACAGGCACGAACGCAGAACCATCGACGCGTACTCTTCGCTGATGCCAATAACTTCTCGGAAATGCGTTTCCGCCACGTGGCTCAGACTCTCTCCACCGTCCTTCATTCCCAGCAGCTCCGCCGCCGTTCTTATGGCAGCGACGTTGGTCAGCGTCATTTGGACTTTGCCGTCATAGCAGAATTCGGCTACGGTGGAGAAAGTCTCGGCCGTTATGTTTAACGGTGGGGATAGGATGAGGTCGGAGGTTGCCGTTAGACGGCGTTTTAGATATGAGCTTTGTGATACCACACGATCCTGAAAAGTAAAAATGAGAACATCATGAGTATCTATCATTTCATTAAGAGCGCAAAAAAGTGCAGCGCTTATTTCTATGTAATTATGAATTAGTTAAATTAAAGGCGTGTCCCAACGTGTTGGGACTTAAAAGCAGCGCCTTAAAAAGCAACATCAGTTCAGTGATCTAAAAGGGTCGTTAAAGACAAAATAGAGCACATGAAATGGATTACTGTATTATTATTATCCACTAAATTAATTAATTATATCGTTTCGTCTAATCATCTTTTGTTTCTATAATCTGTATTATTTGATTTAATCAAGACAATGTTCACGATTAAGCACAAATTAGCAGCATTTTTAAGCGAAGCCCGTTTAAGAATCATGAAAATATGTTGCGAAAACTGGCTGTTGGGTATTTATACAAAGGAAATGGATAATCTTGTGCAGTAGACAAAAAGAAAACGACTTGTTGGGGTTCCTCTAGCTTTTAGGCACAGGACAATGACAATTTTGTGTTTATGTGTTTTAAATGAGATGATACCTGTTCAACCGTAAGTTAGCTGATAGATACATGCATGTATTGAATTTTGAATATAATTAATTAATGTATGCATGTTAACAACATTTTGAGCTGAAATGTTGAAAAATAAAGGTAGATTAATTTCCCTTGTTAGGGTAGATTACATAACCTTTTGTTAGGTTTTTCCATGCAAATACGATCTTATATAATCGAAACAAAACATTAATTTCGTCTACTGTCACAGTCAATAATTAATCTAGATCGTGTTTGAAGTTTTGCTAAATTACATTACTATTGCATTTTCCAAGATTAGTGTTACAAGAAACAAACACTATTAACAACAGGCAAGATATTGTTAAAGAATGTAAAGGATTGAACAGACCCAGTACTATCTGAAGAACATAATAAACTAGCAATCACAATGGTGAATCAGCACACCTTGTGTAGACGAAAACACATTCCTTGAACGCGTATCAATACGTCTGTTTCACGCCCAGTTTTCAGAGACCTATTTGAATATATTTTTAGTATAAATGAGAAAAATACAATAATTGAAAACCATATAATATGAATAGACCCAAAAATATGTATGTGAATAATGGAGAGAAGGAATAATTACCAGGCCTCTACTCTGGAGTGGAGGGATGCAGGAGAAGAGGAAAATGAAGGTGAAGGGGAGAGAGAGGAGGTAGAGGAAAATTCGCATTCTTCCTCGTAGATGGTCTCAACCACCCCTAATTGATTCCAACCTCTCATCTGTTTTGAATTGAATCACACTCTGCAGAGTGTCCTGTTGAGTTTTCAAAAGCTTTTTCAATGCTGCTGTTATTAGTACTATTGAGTTTTGGGAGCTGTGAGAAATTCCCTGCAAGAGGTCATAAATATGGTTTGGGAAGGCAATTAATGGCACATGTGACGTCTCTTAAATGCTCACCTTAATTTCTTCTTCCTCTATCTTCTATGTCAAAAATACCGTCCAACCCCCAAATTCTCCCTAGCAGGGTAATTTGCAACTATCAAGTTCATTAATCATACTCTTTTAGTATTTAGTATCTCTCGGCTTATATAGAAAATTTCACCTACAAAACAGGAGAAAGGAAATACAAAAGAAAGAAATATAGAGATAAAAAAAATAGAATAAAAATAAAGTTAAAAAATTAATTTTTGAACGACTTAAAATAAAAAAATTTCTACTTATTTAGATGTATAAAAAACAATTATATTATATTAAAAACAACTATGTTAAATTAAAATTTAAAATTTTAATAATTTATTGTAATACTTTTTAAATTTTTTATATTAATATCTACATAAATCTCTTAGCCCCTACACTTCCTCTTCTCTTATCATTTCTTTCATTTTAATATTTTTTTTTAATTATTAATATCCTCAATGTTAACAATATACTTTTTAGTACATTTTTTTTTCTCATCTAATTTATCTGGATCATATACTTAAATGTGATTAGTAAGTTTATCATAAGAAAATTTTGTTACTTAGACTAAACTCTGTTAATAAATTATGTTAGTGTCATTTCTAAATTAATATTTTTTATATTTTTTTAATTTTTAATAAAATTTAACCAACAAAGTGAAAAGTATGTTAAAATGTCTTATTAACACTTATCTCTCTATATATTTAAATACATCAAGTTTTTTTTTTCTAGATTTTCTTTACTCTTCTCAATCTTTTTCTCATCCAAATATATGGTTGAAGTTGAACATTTATTAATAATATTTTTTATTAAAATATTATTTATTATAGTTTATTTTTTAACATAATAAGTACTGTTTATTCTTAATAAAAAATTAATTTATCTAAATATTTAAATTCGATTTAAGAGTTAAAGTTCACGGAATGAAACCGATTGGTAAATGTTGATGTCATGACAAGTTTTCCTTTTGAGGAGAGTCATACCAACAAGATTCAATAACATGAGGCAATTATTTCCCGATCTCCTACAAGGCACATGATAAATTGTTAACTAGTGCTTTTCAAATAACTAAAATAAAAAAAATTAATAAAGTATGTCTAATTTAATATCCTTAGGATACTCTTTTAAAGCCTAAAAGCCACTAATCAATGCACTGCATTCCAAAGTTGTTCACAATTAACAAGTAAACTAAAATTGATCCAACATTGCTTCAACTTGAGTTTGGAGCATGGATGTTTCCTTTTGTTTTTTTAAAGGTTTTTTAATGCGTACTCACTGTACATGTTAAGAAAATATTTAATATACTTTATTAAATATTTAAAATTATTATAAGAGTTATGTATTAATTATTGTTTATGATTTTCAGACAATAAACATTTTTATTTTTAATAAAAAAATCATTTTTAACTTGCTAATATATGCTTTTGAATACATTATAAAAATATTATTTAATAATAATATATTCTCTTACTATTTGTTTTTGTTAATCCTTCTACTTGACTACCTGGTTAAGTAAGTAACATCTTTCTTTCCATTTATTTATCTAGAGAAATAAGAATTGTATTCCTATAAATATATTTATTCATTTAATATATATATATATATATATATATATATATATAAGAAATCAATTAATATTATAAATAATTTTATAGTAAAGTATAAATTTATGACAATTATTTTTTATTGGTCTTAATAAATTAAGTATTTGTATTCATTGCTATTGTTTCATTAATATTCAATTTTGTCCACATACAATATTTATATTATTTGAGTAATTGAAGAATCAAAAGAAGGTCCATATAATTTTTTCTTTCTCTAGATAGATAAACAGGGACAAAGATATTGTTAAATAAAATTATGAATGCATTTTAATGTCTTAGAAACATAAAACGAATTTAAACGTTTCTTCATCTGACAAATAGGGAGATTTATAAAAAGAAATAGTGGAAGGATTTAGAGTTGATTTTTTTTTTTTACTTGATATGAGAAATAATTTGTGGATTAACAGGTTTTTGCATGCTTAAAAAAAACTCCTATTATTTTTTTAAAATACATATAGGTCCTTTGTTTTAAGTGAAGATCTACATTGCCAATGCAGAGATCTCCGATGTCCTGAAGAACACGATCCTCCAAGTCTCCATATGGTCCCCAACGAACTCTTCACCTACGTCTCCAACCAAAGCCACTCTGACAATTGGGTCCTCGCCAACGTCGCACCCTTCTACCCTCAAACCCTCATCTGCCACCTTGATTTGTGGGACAAGATTGAACTGATTGAGAAATACTTTGAGAATAGTTTATAAACATTAGATTTCTATACTGCATTGGAGAATTGTCTAAAGCGCGAGCTCGTAACAGCTAATTGCTTCTCCTTGTGGCTCTTCAATTGTTTGATGAGGAATCAGTGTTGGGAGACAACTACGGTGTTAAGGACATTACAAGAAATTGAAAATTTTCAAGGCTGCTGGTGACCTTGAAGAATTCTTCCAAATCTTTCAATTTGTTTACCAGTACCATACCATTCAGCATTGTCGACGACTAATACTTAAATTATTAAACGGTCATGATTAATTCTCTTGTTTCTTTTTCTTTTTTAATTTTTTTTATTAAAAGTGATATATTTATACTATTTTAGCCTTTACGATTGGCAACAGTAAGCCATTTAACAACTCCAATAAAAATATAAACTATAAAGAATTACAATAACTACTTGTTCTGTAGAGAATAGGTAGCCAGCCAATCTTGTCAATTGAATAAATTATTTTTATATCGATGGCTATAAGAACATGAATCGTGGAAGTGTGAAGCACAATAGAAAAACTATAAAGTATCCAATATCGTACCATTGTTTTAACAGTATATAATGAAATGAAAATACATTTAAAAATAAAAATAAAAAATCAAATTACTTTCAAAAAATTAATATGTGCCATTTGCAAAATCTTTTTAATTTGATATGTAAAGCAAATTTTAAAGTAATTAATTTGATATTTTTATTATTATAAACTCTTATGACCGATTTTAAACATAAAGTTGATAAACTTTTTATAAACGTTTCTTGTCAAAACAATACAAAGGAAAAAATAATAAACATTTGTTGATCCTTAACCTTGTATGTTTGGGGGACAGTTGAATTATGAACCGGAGGGAAAGCTGGAACAGAGGAAGAATCTTTGTCAGGGGAATTTGTCTACTTTGATTTAAAATGGCCTCTCTCCCTAAAATAAACTAGGGAGAAAAACATCTTTCGTTTCCCTTATTAAAAAGTTTCCATCTCAATATCATCCGAAGAATTAATCAGATGAGGGATCCCTATCGACTCATCCCTCCCTACCATCCATGAGTGTTCCCTTTCTTATTAAATAGATGGCCATCAATTAAAATTTCTAGGACCAGTCCGACCCTGCTTCCATCGTTCCACATTATTCAAAGAAAGACAACTCAAGTTAACAATAGCCGGACAGTATAGAAAGACCATACAAAAGAAAACATTCTAGCAATTAGATTTAAGAAAACAAACACATGGTTAAACTCAACCTAGAGAACATAATTACCATATCTCCCAAAACATGATGTCTACTACAACAGAGGCAAGCAGAAAATGAAAGCAAAAAGTGGGCAAACAGAAGCCAATGTTTGACCTTAAGATATCTAAATATTCATCGACAGTCATGAAGAGCCTACAAACACTCGTGCGTGGGAATAATTATTTTGCCCTTCCTTCGAGGGTCATCCAAAAAGAATTAAATTAAGTTTGGAATTCTAATTATGCACATGAAGAAGACCCTTAAGGTTTAAGGGCAATGGCCAAACCAAACCTGGGAATTTTATCCAGGGCTTTGGTGTCAACCTCACTGGATATTATCAGCACTGATTTTGGTATGACTTCATGCTGCAGGAGGGCCCCAAGCATTCCATGACTGTTGAACCTTGCTTTGACGTGAGTCAAATGGTCAACAGCTAAAGATCCTCCAACAGTAATAGTGTTCTGATTTGTCGAGAACTTCCTAGTGACCTCAGCAACAGCAGCACTCTTCTTCAATTGGTCTAGATAATGCACGTATGACGCTTTAATACTGTCTCCCTTATCACAACTGAAAGGAAAGAACAAAAACATCGTAAACAAAAATAGTGAACTATCAACATGGTTGTATTTGCTAGAATTTTGGTATATGAATCTTGCTTACAGGTACAAGAAGCTTACAGAATTATTGAAGCAGATGAATCAGGTCTTGTCACGTTAATTCCAGCAGTGTATTTAGTAAAACTACCAGATGTAGTGTCGTAGCCTGCCTCAGCACCCAATGCAATGCTTGGGGTACCAACCGTGGCAGAAACATCAATAATTGGGGATTGGTTCAATGCAATAATTGTTGTTAAGGTAGCATGGTCATGGAAGTATTGAACCTCTAACTGCCATAACACAGCCAATTTTCAGAAAGAATGCAAGCAGTAAAATTTCCAAGCCAGAAAATGCAAATTTATGTACCTTTCCAGAATTATAATCAGGTAACTTAAATGAAGCAATAGCCTTGGTAGATGGAAGAATGTCAGTGAAGGTGAGGGTTGTTGAGATCTGCCAAAAAAAGGAAGAAAATAAGATGATTTACAGAAGGACATACACAAAAAAACTGAAAATCAAAGCAACCCACATTTGATTCTGTGTCAACTTTGGCATCAAGAATTGTGTTCTTACGCCTGTACTGTGCTGCCACATCACCAATTGAGAGTCCTGATTTCTTCACAGCTGTTGAGGTAATGGGCTGAATGGAGGGAGAGAGAGGGAGGAAGAAAGAAATCAGATTCAAAAGCATATTTGGTATATTTTGCTCCATGCAAGTGACCTGAAATGATTATGTGCATAGTTGCACATTACATGGCACTACAAGACCATCATGAATTCAAGACAACTAGATATTACAATAACTAGCCACATTTTAAGATGATTAACATAGAATTAGACACAAAGATACAACTATTCAGGAATACACAGAAGATTAATAGTTTCACTCCAACTCCTAAAAGTATTTTTCACAGTTACCGGTCAAATGTAAAGCATTAGCTTTAACATGAAATTGCTACATTGAGAATAGATTATTATTCCTTATGTTAGCTTGTTATTGAACGGCCCAAAGCAGAAATGGATAATAATACAATATATATATATATATATATATATAAATTGCATTGAGATATGATGCAATTTAAGTTACCCGTCATTGCCATTAACACATCTACTTTCCCCCAAATGCTCAGACAATAAACATGCAGTTTGTATTAACCTAGAAGAAATTTGAAATACAAAGTAAATAAACCATTAACAGAAGCAGCAATCTTAAAGCTGCATTAAATTTTCTAAAAAATGTAGAACTGGACAGCACAAAAATACTTATTCCGAGTTTAATTTTTTCTGAAAAAAGGGGTCATGAGACAACAAAATGAAAGATGAAACATACAATAAAAAAAAAATTGTCACTCAACTATGAAGCATCTTTTTGTCCTACACACCCAATCCTTCCTTTCCTTGATAATCCCATTCCTTGAGCCACCTTTTCTCCCAAACAACAGAGACAAAACAACTTTGAGCTGTGACTCAGCTACTTGTCCCTCAATATGCATTCAATGAACCAGGGCGTTTCAAAGTTAATCAGTGGCCATTGCCCATATCAACCCTCTTTGTCAACTATATATTAGCATATTAGTTTACAATGGATCGAACCTATGACTATGTCCAAATCATATATCAGCTCTATCACTTGATCTCAGAGAATATTTATTTCCCCATTTCATGAACATGGCACATGACCTAAACTCCTAAAATAATTCTTTTCATTGAGATTAACTTGGACAAACATCCAAACCATGTTGAAGGGAAAAAGAATATTTTGGCTTTCTTTCAACCTCCATTTGGCAGCCAATCTTTAATCTAATCCTAAAGTAATTCATAAATCCTATTTCAACAGTTTTCTCTCAATTTATCTCAACCTCTTCAGTCTATTCTCAGCAATTCCTTCATGCTCTGTATGAGTACAAAACAAAATTTCCAGTAGTATGCTGGTAAAGCACACAGCTTGCTTTATTGTTTCTAACATCTATTTCACAATGAAATTAGCTAGTTATTTTCTAAAGAAACACTCATTAACTTCAGTGGTAATTTTTAGAACAATTCCTGATATGGAAGTGGCAGTGTGGCACAATGCCTGATATAACTTTATTTGGTTATAAGTGTATAAATATTCCCTTCAAGATTGTTTTTTTTTCATAAACTATATTCACCTTTGGATCTACATTTCTTCCAGATTCAGAACACGTATCCAATACATCAGCACTTTCACAAAAACAACCAAGTTATATAGCATAAAGTTTTTTTTTATCTTTTCCTGTAAAATGACTTAGATAATTTTTTTTTTTTAATAGGGAAAAAGAGCTTAGATAATTGATTCTTGACTATCCACACACTATGTGTTGCCGCTAAACAGACACCTGTATTTCATGTTCATATTTTGAAACTACATGCTCCATTATGATGAAGAAAACACTCTTTTGAACATACTATTCAACACAATTCTTATTATTGCTTTAATCTCTAAAAAATTAAACAGTAAACAGTCAAGTGCTTAAACTTTCTACAAAATGAACCCATCAGAAGAAGTGTGTTATAAAGTGCGTTCAAAAGAGTGTGTTACTGTCACTTTTCTTTTGATGAAGTATCAGCCTGGCACCAAGCACACAAAAAAATAGTATGTTAAGATTCTAAATTAGGTAACATAAACATCAGACAAATTTGTCTATACTCTATAGATTAATAATGAGTGAATACCCATTTTAGTCTTAACTTTATAAAATTTTCACTTCAGTCCTTATTGTTTTAAAAAACTCTCATTTTAGTCCCTTTCTACTTCATTTTTTGTTATTTTATATAAAATATGGCTAAAATAAATGTCATTTTGTACAGTCAAGGATTAAAATGAGATTTTTGTAAAGTCAGGACTAAAATAATTGATGCTTACAGCTTGAGGGCCTAAAATGAGTATTTACTCGATTAATAACGTACTAACAATCTAATCTGAAGAAGGTTATGCTTTGTTCATATCAAACAGAAAAAATATGAATCCAGATAAATCATATTTTGGTGTCAACTTTGAGTTTTATTTCAAGAGTTTCACAATATCCTCCTAACAGTCATCCTATTGCAAAAAACAATAAATAAATAAATGAAAAGCATTAAAAGAAAATCACAAAAGCTTGCAAAAAGTGAATAATAATGCTTTGACCTTGGAAGAATCCGAAGGAACTAAAAATCGCAAATCGCTGCGAGAAAGTTAAAATGGGAAACGGAAAGAGGGGAAATTGCGTAGGGCTTACGACTCCGGCGGTGCTATAGGAAGAGATGGTGAGTTTGTGATCGGAAGTGTAGTCCTTAGTCAAAAGATCTATAAGAGAGAAACAACAGATGCATTAATATTTAACGGATAGCGATCGAGAAAAGAGAACGTTGAATGAATTGTTGAGTCACCTTTGGCTTTCTTGCCAATATCGGAGAAGAGACATGGTCCTTTGCTCATCTTCGCGCGCACGAAGAAGATCTTGATTCTCCACGGTGTGGCTAGGAAATGAAGTTGAAGTCCTTTGTGCCGTGTGTAGGAGCTTGTGAACGGTGATCCCCGTCGATTTCAACCGTAGATTTTCGTATTCTACAACACTCTGCCTACTACTTCCTCCACTGCATATATGATCCGTCATTACTAATTTTAATCGCATTTTCTAATCGATGTTTAGTGCGATAATGTTTTGCTAATTTATTTTCACTTTCTCTCTCTTAAAATAAATTTTATTAAACACTATTTTATACGAATTATGAAAAATAAAATAATATTTTTTCATTAAATAAGAAAATAATAATAACAAGTTTTAAAAATGAATTAATTTTTTTTTTATAAATCTTTCTCCTTCTTTAAGCTATATTTAGTAAAATAACGATAGGTATGAACTTGTAAATTATAATTATAAAAGATGTGAATTTAGTAATTAAAAATTTATAATTATATAAATATTTTATAAATTTAAAATTGTTTGAAAAATTAATTTGTTTACATTAAATAATTTAAATGATATTAATGTAATATTATAATTAATTATTATTTATTTTATATATTTAAAATTATTTTTTTAATATTAAATATATTTGAACAGAAAAAATAGAGTAGATAAAAAAATTTAAAAAAAAAACTATTATAGAGATGAAAAGGAAAAAAATTAACTTACGTACATAAAACTTAATTATGCGTGTCTTTTAAAAAGATAAAAAATAAAAATATTACTAATTAACTTTAAAAATTTTAATATAATTTTAAATAATTTTTAAAACATATAAACTCTTTTAATTTATATTTATTCAATAATTCTACAAGATTATACACTAATAAGTCGCTCAATTCTATTAAATATCGTTTTAATCTTTATTTTATATTTTAACAAAATAAAAAAAATTATGTTATTATCAAATACTTTTACTTTAAAAAATAAATTTTATTTAACTTTAACTCTATTTTTAAATATATATATTTATATATAAAAGAATAATTTTAGCTTTAAATAATTTTAAACTATTTAATAAGAATAATTTTTTTTGTACTATTAACAAAGGACAAAACTTTATGATCAATCATATAAATTATTCTAATATTATTAGTAATTTTTAAGGTTTTGTTTGAGAGTTTGAAAAGAAAGAGAAGAGAAAGATTTAAAGGGAAGGAGAAAGGAAATTAAAATTTTTTCTTTATTTAAATGTTTAATAAGTAGAAGAAAAAGTAATAGGAGTGTTAGTAATATAAATGATATTATTACTTTCATTATTGCTCTTTATATTTTTTATTTATAATTTTTATGTTTTAAAAAGAGTTTATAAGATAAACTCTTATTTTAAAACAAGGAAAAAAATAGGCTAAACATTTGTTAACATTTGCTTGTAAGGAATTTTGTGTTCTGTAATATATTGCTGTTAGCTTTCACTGTTATGTGAATTAAATTGAAACTAAGTACTTTCATGATATTCATGATCGTAATTATTTGAGTATAAAAATAAAAATTTTAAAATTATATAAAATAAGATTAATGGAAGAATTTGATAATTGTAATTATGAAATTTAAGAAACTAAGTTTAAGTAAAAAAAAATTATTAAACGATCAAAATTATATATTAATCATAATAAAAAGGGTTATAAGTATGAATACATTTTTAATTAATTGAGTAAATGAGCAAGAAATTATTGTTATTATTTGTAAATAACTAACTTTTTTAGTATAAATAATCAATCAATCAATAAATTTCGCTGTCAAAGTTTGAGACATGACAATTTTCACCAAGAACTTTCCTGGATCCTTTCACACACCTCACCACCTAATTGCTTGTGGTTATTTTAGAGTGTTTTATAGACAAACAATTCCTTATTCGATCATGAAAAAAAATTGTGATTTTGTCGGAATTAGTTTGAATATAATATTAAATTTAATTAAAATTGATTAAGATTAAATGAAATGATTAAAATTTTATATCTTTATTTATAAACATATATGATTAATGCTAAATAAATTTAAAATTGCACAATAATTATAATAATGATTTATTTATAGTATCAACTATCACATATGAATTTAAAATATTAGTCAAAATAGTATTAAAAGTAAATACTAAAATAAATTAAATAGACATCTTACGAAGATGTAATTCAGATAGTCAAATTATGGTGAAAATTAAGTTGCTATATTGATTTTATAAATTTTACTTATAGAAATATGAGCTTTAAGTTAATTTTATAAATTAAATTATGCATGTATTCAATTCACTTTAAATTAGATTTGATCATTTTAAAATAAAATCTAAAATTCAATTGATTTTATGTATGGGTTTTTTTTTTAATTATATTCAGTTTGACAAAATTTTAATTTAATTATTTAATTCAATTTTGGTAATATATTAAATTGAACCAATTTATGAATGTTTCTAATATAAAGCTTTTATATGCTAAAAAAACAATACAAGACAGGCAATAAATAAATTTATATTTACAAATTTTAAGATTTTACATTCAAAACTGTAAAGGTAACCTTTTTATTGCTTGGATAGTAAATGTTTTGCTTATTACGTATTAAAACAATTTGCAAACAGATTTTGTAATATTCCATTTAATTTATAATTTTTTAAAAGAAATGAAAAGTATAGTTGTTATTTGCATATTTTTAATCATTTTTATAATTTATTTTATTGAACTCTAACAACTAAAGTTCTTCAAAATCATATTTAAGTACTATTTTTTTTTTTTTACTACATATTCGTCTATTTCAAGTAATAGAATCGTTAGTTCTTTATAAATACTATTTAAGTTTAGAGAAGTTAAATTAATCTTAATATATTGCAACTTACTTTTATCACAACCTTGCATAAGATGTCCTTTTTACTTTAGTCTTTAGATATTGATACTTTATTCATATTATCACCCACTTAAAGTGTCAAAATATTCTTGTAAGTATATATTCACCTTCTTCTTTTGTCCTGTTCAACTTCATCATGTAATGTTAGTTTTCATTACAAGAGTTGAATCTGAAAGAGAAAGACTAATCTCAATTAATTGTGAGTCACTTACGTTACCCTTACATACCTTTTTACTCTAGGCATGCTTAATTTTCATGGATAATAATACTTTGTTTATCACTAACTTGAGTATCAAAATATCTTTATAAATATGCATAATTTTTCTTTCAATTCTATCCAAGTCTGTTATGTAAAGTCAGTTTTCATTACAAGAGTTGAACTAATCTCAATCAAGTGTGAGCCAATTGCATCACAATCTTATATAAGAAGTTGTTCATTCTCTCATTCCTCTTAAACTCCCTTGTATAAAGTTATTTTTCAATGTGAGAGGATTTATCCGTCTTGGAGTATGCTTGTTTATATAATAGCAATGGAAGTGAGTTAATGTAGAATGTTAGTATTTTTTTTTTTTTTTACTCTTAGAACTATTAGAGACAAAGTTCTAATGGATTTTAATATTTTTATGAAGCATTTACTAATTTTATGATACAGTTTTTAATAGAAAGTTGAAACACGTACATTCTATTCATAGTTCTTTCTTCTTTGTACATTTTTTTTCTTTGCCTTTTTAGTCTACAGTTAGGACATAGGACAATATAGCACACTTTCCAACATACATACGCACACTTTAGGCTTAATGATTAAAATAAAGCTTTTTTAAAAAATAATTATGGAATTAAAACAAAATTAAAATTTATTCCCTGTCTGAGGTGTTTTTTGGCCACGTCAGCATGTATTTCGTATACCAATCAGACGAAAATAATTTTTTTCATTTTCAATTTAATCATTTCGTCTAAAAGAGGAACAAAATAAGCTATATGGTGACATCTGTCACTCAATTCGTATCTGTCATAGGCGAAACAAAGAACAAGTGTCTTAATACTACAAATTCGTCTTAATCCAGGACGAAAGTATAGGATTTGAACACGTGTTTGAATCTTATAAATTCATCCACAAATAAGACGAAAAAGGGGACTCATTTCGGCTCCTGTCAAGACAAAAAGCTATCATTTCGCCTACTTCCCAAACGAAAGCCCTTTTATCCCCCGGTCCTTCCATTTTTGCTCCACCCTTTTATCCAGCGAAAATTTTGTATATATAATGTTTGAAATCTGGTCAAAATCAGCGTGAAAGAAAGGTGGGTCGTGAAATTGAAAGGGATATCTTATTTGAAAGCAATTCCTGTAGTTTGAAGCAAATTTTGGAGGTTAGTAAATTTCAAAACTTTTTTTAATATTTTAGTTATTAAAAAGTTTTAATAATTATAAATAGAAATAGTTAAAATTTATGAATATTTAATAAAAATATTTTTGTGTATATTAAAATTAAAATTTAATATTTTAGATAATTATAAAAAATATATAAAAGTTTAGTAGATATTTAATATAAATTTTTTTAATTAAAAAATAATGTTATATTTATTGTGAATATTTTATTATATATAAGTTGAATATGTAGTAAAGATATAACATTTTTTATAATATAAAAATGATGTAAAAAATAATAATATGTTTGTGTGTTACAAATAAATTATTTATATAAATAAGTATAATTGTAAATAATTATTGATATGTTTTTTTTTTTATAAATGCAGGCTGAATGATATTATTATTATTGTACATTGGAATGGAAAAATTGTTGTTGGAAACGAAGGTGTGACATTTGAAGGTAACAAAAAAATGATAAAGATAAGAAGAGGGATAAGTTATATGAATTTAAAGAAAAAGATTCATGACAAGTTGAATCTTAGTAATAATCATGTCATATCTAGAATAATTTCTCGTTTTATGGTTGATTCAAGCGCTAAACAATACAATGCAGTGGATATATGTGATGATGAAGATATTGATTGTATGATTAGTGTGCATCAACAACAAAGTATTACAAGGTTTATTGAATTATATGTGGATATTGCATTTGGTGAAAGTTTAAGAGGTGGGTCGAATATGTTGGACTTAAGCTTATCAATGTCACCGCCTAACCTTATAGAAATGGTCAATATAAATGTTACAGAAGGTATAAATTATATTGTTATAATATTTTTTTAAATTTTTTTTAGTGACAACATATATTGAATAAGTGTTTGTATTTTGAAGGATGTGGAGATTTATGCAG